TGGAAGTACAGAAATTCACCTACGGAAACACAAGGGGAGGCAGAGAAGGTGGAGGCTGATGCTGGTGGGTGGGCAGAGGGGAGGGGGCGTTAAGGAAGTTCTCTTTGATGGTTCTAATGTCTCAATAAATGGGCAGCAAGGTCCACAGTTGACAGAAAGAGTAGGGAGAAGGCGTGGGTTTGAGGGGAGAGCAGAGGGTCTCAACGAGCCATTCTAGAGAGGAGAGAATGAACAGACTAAGGACAAAGCAGGTCCATGCCTGGCAGCGTGAAAGCCCCATTGGAAGATCAAGGTCAGCATAGTTTTTCTCCAGCCTTGTGTAGCTTTACTGGCACAGGCAGAGAACAGGTATAGAATTAGATTTCATCAAGGAGTCAAGTGATTGCAATAATTGGCCAAGGAATTGTAGTTGGGAAAAGAGATGAGGGACAAGGGGCTGTGAGATGCTGATAGGAGCGCTGGAAGTTCCAATGTCCAGAGACTGTCAGAGTTTGGCTACTAAAGGGAGTGACCTAGACAGACAGGGGGTGGTGGGTTGAGACTTGAATGCATGGAATTGACACTGTGACTCACTGGTAAAAATAAAATGTGGTCAGAGGAGTGAGAGACCGAGGTTGGGTGGAGGTCAAGATCACAGGAAGAAGACTGGGCAGGGAACTGAAGCCTCAGGCTTGGAAAGAACACCTACACGTGTGTTGCATCATCACAAATTCTGACTGAAGTCAGGGGAAAAAATGCAACTGTGAACCAGGAGTCCAGATGACCGGAAAATGGGGAGGAATGATTCAGACGTCAGCAGAAAACAGGGCGGTGGAACCTACAAAGCGATGATAGGAGGTTCAAAGTTAAGGGGTTTTAGGATGAAGGAGAGAGAGGAGTTTCTACAGCAAGGAAGACACCTGCCCCACCTCAAGGCCCAGCAATACCAGGGTTGTGGGAGGAAAAACAGCCATTGCTTGAGAGAGCAGTAAACAGTGTCCTAAGGGGGGACCAGGTTCCTGAGCATTCGGGTAAAGGGAACTTCCAGGGGAGAAGTCAGGACGGGGGAATTTTGCTGATCACTGATCATGACATCCAGAGGAAACAGCGGAAATTTTCGGAGTCAGGGAGGGATGCGAGAAGGGGACAGACTGGATCATGAGAGAGCCCTTTGGAGACTGGCAAGCCCAAGGCAGGAGGTGACCTGGGAGTCTGGGGTCCCAGTGGGTACTGGTGACACTGAGATAAAGGGCCTCCTGAGCTGAGAGCTGGGACCCAAGGCAGACCCGGCGGTGAGGCGGGAGCATTGTGTGTAGGGAGGGCTGCGTGTTTGGGACTCCCTGAGGTGCCTGAGGGCACCTGTTTGTGTTCACATTTTGCCGACAGAGGAGGGGCAGAGGTGGGGTCTCACTCGGCGTGGGGTAGTAGTTGGAGTGCCGGTTCAGGGGCCGGATACCCTCGGGCAATGTCCAGGCTACATGCGACTCCCCCTAAATTCCCTGTGACCTAGTTTTCTCATCACAGAGCAGAAATGGTATCTATCTCCCAGGTGTGTTGGGGACACTGAGTAATCCGTGACAGCATTCAACAAATGCTAACTCTTGTGAGAGGCACGTGGGCAAGGCATAACTGAACCCTGACGACCTCTGGACTTCTCAGTCACGTGAATGAGGATCCCCCCTCCCCCGCCTTTACGTGTGAGCTATGCAAGCTTGAGTTGAGTTGCCCAACTCTTAATGACCCAGATTCCTGGCGCAGACTCTCTTTTGATCTCCATTAGGCAAATGAGGAAATCAAGAATCAGAGACATTAAGTTGGCTGCTCAAGGACACACAGCTGAGATTGGAACAAAGGTCGGTTGGACCTGCCAGTTTGCTCAAACACAGCCTTCCCACCCAAGTGCCCAGAACTTCCATTTTTTCTGGTCCCATGTCCTCCTCCCAGGGGCCTCTGCAAAGGCCAGGACTGGGCATTGGGAGAGAAAAGTGGGGCTGGTCTGACAGCCTCCTGACCTTGGGCTAACCACTCGGCAGAGTAGTTTCATGGGTCACAGGCCGTGCTTGGGAGGATTAATTTTCACATGGTCCAGTGGTCCAGACCCCAGGTCTGTGCTTCCTGGGATGTGGTGTGCAGTGGACAGTGGAGAGGTGTTCTGAGACCGGCACATGTCGTCTCCAAGCCACCAGTACCCAGGACAGCATGAGTCGGAGGATGCAGGGGTCCACAGGTTTAATCTCAGCAGAGGGATGCCAGGCTCCACGCCCACACTCTGCACCCCCACACCTGCCTTCTGTCCCGTATCGTTTTTCCTTCATTTTATGTCTTTTTTTGGTACATCTCCTCTTTCCACAACTGTTTTAGAAAATATATACAAGGACTAGGTAAGCCACACGCTAGAATGAGAAGTGTAGACTAAGGGGATGGGAACGTACTATAGGGCCACAAAGCAAATGTGATATTTCACAGTTGCTAACACTGAGCTTCCTGGTGGCCAAAGCAAAAATGGGAGAGTCCATTAGGTAGCATCATAAGCTTCTTTCTTAGAGTATCCTTTGAAGAAAGCCAACAAAGCAAACTCAAAATACCATCCTTGAGGACCTCTGGAAAGCAGAGTCAAGTGCAAGTCTCTAACGGTTCAGTCTGATTCAACAGCATTTCCCAAACTCTCAGAACCCCAGAGTCACTCTTACTCACAGCATTAATAACTGTTCCGAAAGAAACAAAGGGTTGCACAGGGAGATAAGTTTGGGATAAAATCAGAATTAACAAAATCAAGCTGGTGTGTTAATTTCAAAATGTCCAAGAGCTTTTAATACTCCAATGTCTACGGGACTCTCCAGTTTGATGGCACCCTCCTCTCCGCCCACCCGTTTTTCCAGGAGGGTCTGTGGGAAGCTCACAAGAGCTAGAAAGCATGTTTCAGATGCACGGGCCACAGTTTGATAAATGCTGATCTAGAATAGGAATTTTCTAGAGGTGAGCAGAACACCAGCCAGCCCCCAGGGAAAGAGGGGGTCAGAGGCAGGTGGGCGTTCGGCTACGACAGGACTCTCCGCAGACACGGGAGTGTGGTGTGAGGGTGGGCCGGCCCAGGTCAGAGACAGGCCAGGCATGGGTCCAAGGGTTTGACCTTAGAGCATGGCTCCGCCCTCATTCCTTTCCCCATGAACTTGATGCAGGACCTAATCTCAGATCTAAAGCGTCTTTGTAGGGCTCGGATCTGTGGCTCCCAGCCCAGGCCGAGGTGGTCCATCTCGAGAGAACTGGCTCCAGTTTCCCCACTTGCAGCTGAGTGTGAAATTCTACCCCCTCTTCAGGATACGCTCCTCACACCGCTTCTAACCCCCGCGGTGTCTGAAGTCTCGGGATAAAGGAAACCGCATTTCAAAGGAAAAGAATTTGACTGGGAATTAATGAGTTTGTTTTTGTACAGAGATTAAAAAACAAACATGTTTTATCTGGAGATCTGGAAGGACTCTAAGTTGTTGAATTCTAATGTTACAGCAAGCACAAATATACCCCAGACCAGAATGAGACAGCTAAATGAATTCAACGCTTTAAGTCTCCAGAGACATTTTTGCACTCCCTGGGGAGGGACCTGCTTCAGACTGTGCCGCGGGCCCACAGTCCCTGCTCTTTAAGACGCACTGGATGAAGAATCACAAAAGTGTCTTATCTCCCCGTTCCTGGAAGGGATGGATTACATCAAGGTCACTTACAAAGCAAGGTGCATAAATTACGGAGCCTCACCTAAACAGGTTTGGATGAGGTGGGGAGTTAAGTCGTCTCCCATAATTTCCTATAGTGTTAGGTTTCTATTTTAGCAAATGTTAAAACTGAGCCTCAGTGAGATGGAAATGACTCACCTCAGGTCACCCAGCTAGCAAAGTGACAGGAACCAGATAGCCACCTACAAGGCCAGCGGAGATCATAGTTAAGCCGAGGCACCTTTGAGACACACAGTGGTTCCCAAGCCAACGTGGTTCAAGCCCCCACCGGGTTCAAGCCCGCAACCTCGGGGTATCAGGGCGGCGCTTTATCCGCCCAGGACAGTTTCCTTACCTGCCATGCATGCTGCTCATGCCTATCAGTCCCATATTAGTCCTGTTAGCTTGCGTCACCTCCCTGGCAACTAATTGCCTCCGCAAACTGAAGACATTAAACTCCTGGACCCATGCGGCTGGCAATCTGACCTTGGGCGCTGGTAGATTCCTGCTTCACTGAAGCCCCTTGGCAGGCAGCCAGCAGGCCACCTGCCTGCCCCCAGCCTGCTTTTTGCTTCCAGGTCCCCAATGCCTCCTCATAGCACTGCCCCGGGATTCCAGGGGACCACAGACAGAGCCACCGGTACAGGGCTCCCTCAGAGTAGGCCAAGTAAGCGGCAGCTGTCCTCATTACTTACACGATGTGCCTAGCACAGGACTGATGGTAGCTATTATCATATATGTGAAGGGCACGGCAGATACCGATGAGAAGCTCGGGAATCAGTAACTGAAAACAGGCTGTTCGGCTGGGCTTCCCTACCCCTGCTACTCAGAATACTTTCCCATCTCCCTTTTTCACGGGCCACCTGCTTACAAATGTGTTCAAGCACAAACTTCTGCCCCACCAATCCTGACAGCCGAAAGCTTTCGTCTGGGACTGCCTGTGGTAGTGTTTCTCAAAGTGGGGTCCCCAGGGCCGCCTGTGTTAGAATGACAATGTCTGTTCACTGGGCAGGTTCTCAGATCCTCTCCAGCCTGCTGGGTTGGGCTCTGGGTCCAGGGGCCAGAGATCTTCTTGTGCAAAGGCCCCAGCGGTGGGCTGGTGGTGGTGGCAGAATTGCTCATGCATCCCAAACTCACAAGTCACGGCCCTCCGAAGGCATCGCTGAGGCACCTGGCCCCAGAAGGGAAGTTCTGATTCACTCCCTGGCCCTGCCCACTTCGGCCCTCCTATCAGGTAATTCAAAGTCTCCAGGCCTGCTCGTTACTGATTAACTTCAGGAAAGAAATAATAATGACCGAAGGGACAGCATAAGCCCAGAGACAAGCTGAGCCACCCTGGGAGAGTGCTGCCAGACAGCTGCTGTCACCAGGCACCTAACAAGAAGGACAAGGAAGCTTCATACGCCCCACCTCACCAAGGTCAGAGTACATCTGTGTCCCAGCAGCGCCTTGCCCATGCCCGGGCCCTAACCTGCCATATCCTGCCGGCTCCCGTGCCCAGAATGGCCCACACTGAGGTCCCGCAGCAGCCCCAGCCCTTCTCCGCCGGAGCCACCACCACCGACACCGAGGGCCCTGCCGAGGGTCACGACCTGGAGTGCCCGGTGTGCCGGGAGCCCTACAGCTGTGCCCGACCGCCCAAGCTGCTGGGCTGCCCGCACTCCTTCTGCGCCGTCTGCCTGAAGCTCCTGCTGCGTGTGCAGGACAACACCTGGTCCATCCCCTGCCCTGTGTGCCGCAGGGTCACTGCCGTCCCCGGGGGCCTCATCTGCAGCCTGCGCGACCAGGAGGCCGTGGCGGGGCAGCTAGCCTGGCCATGCCCAGAGATGCAGCCCTGTCCTTGGGAGCTGGTGAATCCTGTCGCCTTGACGGCAGGGCACCCCAGCTTGGCGGGAGAGGATGAGCAGGATGTGGAGAGTGTCAACCACACGGCAGCGCGGCGCCTGGTGGCACACCTGCTCCTACTGGCCTTGCTCATCGTCCTCATCCTGCCCTTCATCTACCCCAGTGTCATGCAGTGGATGTTCACCTTCATCATCGCCCTGGCCCTGCTGATGTCCACCCTCTTCTGCTGTCACCTCGGCAGCCGGGGGGGCTGCTGGCCCTCCCCCAGGACTCTTGTCGGCAGCCAGCGGAAACACAGTGAGATCTCTTCCATTGCCTGACCAGCCACCCACAGCGCCTTCTGCCTCTGCGGCCCCGTTACTCCCACAGTGGACAGGGTAAGGGGCTGCAAAGTAGGACTGGCTCCTGCAGGGGAAGAAATGCCAGTCAGACCTGCAAGCTAAAGCCAGAATGGCTGTCCTGGGTCTCCAACTATGTGCTTGGGCGATAGACTTATGCCTGCCCCAGGTACGGCACAGCTGAACTGTTTGCGGGGTGAGAAGGCACAAATGACTTTGAATGCTGCCAGGGAGGACCCCCTGTTCCTCCTATTCCAATGCTCCGGGTTGTTCTTTCTACATCTGGATGAAAGTATTGCAATAGTAATGTTACTGAAAAGTGAATAGAGCCAGGAACTCCTCTTTGTTTATTTTCAATTTATGTAGCTGGTTTTATTTTATTGCTTGGTTTTGGATTGGGTTTTTGTGTTTGGCGGAGTTTGTTCATATTTCTGGCTGCTACGCATTTTCCCTCCTGGGAAGGCAGAGCCCATGGGAAGCCCTCCTGTGGGGGTGGCTTCTCCCCCCACCCCCCACCAATGCTGCCCATCTCATGCCCACCCCACCTTGCCAAAGGTCCTGGCCATTCCGAGGGTCTTTCACTGAGTTGCCCGGCCCTCCTTTTCCCTACAAATGGAGGGAGAGAGAACCTGTGTGGAAGTGGTATTTCTGATGGCGCTGGGAAAGTCCCACGTTTAGTTGGCAGAGCTGAGGAGGGTGGAGGGGATGCAGGTGAGTCTTAGAATCTCCTCCAGCATCCCCACCAGGATTTCCCAGGTCCATATCATCAGGAACTGACTCAACAGAGAGTCTCGGAGTTACGGGAACTTCCCCCAGCGTGGCCCAGCTGCCCACCTGGTGCGCAGTCCCACACCCCAGAACCAAGTCTTTCGGGTGCTGATTTCTTTATAATTGCATCTCGATTCCCTTTTGAGTTTTTGTCATAGAGACAAGGAGCCTTGTAAATGCAAAGGTCCTCTCCAATAACCCCACATTTCCCGCCTCACCCAGAGAGTCACAGTCATCAGAGAGGCTTTGGTGTCTTTTCTCAGTCATTTCTGCTCCAAAACCTAGAGGAGGCTTCTGCTGGAGTGAATGACCTTCCACACTCATCCAGGCCAAGCCTCAGCTGGGGGGCCATGGGGTGGAGGGGGGCGGAGGGTGAAACAGACGTTATTTCCTTCCAAAGGCCCCATAATTGGAACCTCGGAGGGGCTCACTGAGCACGACCATTGATTGCCCTGACTCCCCCTCTTCCTCCTGCAGACTTGTTATGGTGACCTTACCTTTGTCAGGGAGAGAGGTGAGAGCTCCGTCACTGGAGCACGGGGTCGGCCCTGCGTTCTGAACAAGAGTTCACCTCTCAGAAAATCCTTTTCCCCAAAATGAGCTGGTAGAACTGGACTGTTCCTACCACCCCTGCAGCCCAGAGCCGAGGGCATGCTGGGACCCCAGACAATGGACATGTGCACGTGCACAGGTCACATTCCCTGTGACCTCACACAAAGAAAAGTCAAAATGTTCAGAATGGACGCAATGAGCTGTCCTTGACACCTGGAGGCTTCCTCTTGTTCTTACGAGGTCTCCTGGGGCAGCTCTGCGACCCCATGCTGTGGGCCGTGTTGACTGCCGGTGCTGAGAGAGAACGCGTCGGCGTACGTGGGCTTGTGTCACGTACATTGTCAGGCCAAGGCCAGGTGGGCCTGAAGAACGCCTCGTCCCCCAGAATGAGTAAATGGCAAGAACAGCTTAGCATTTCCTGAGCTGGCCTTGGGCATGTGGTTTGGGGGTGGGAGCCAATAGGAAAGGGAAAGAATGTTCTCTACCCACTTACAACCACTCCTGTTTCATCTAGTTCTTGGACTCTCCACCAACAAGAAAACCTTTACCAAGATAAATGACAACACTGTTTCTACCTTAATAATGGTGGCTGCGTATTTATTGAGTTTTTACTTTGTGCCAAGCCCTGCAAAACAGCCTTAAATACCAACCTATGCAGGAGAGACCATTTGCTGATGAAGAGACTGAGGATCAGAGAGGTAAATTCATCTGCCTCAGGTTGCACAGCCAGCCACTTTCAGAGCTCACTGGGGCATATTCATCCAGGGCTTTCTCTGCTCCATCATGCTGCATCCTTTTCATGCAGTTCCAAACCACTAGGAAGCTGGTTTCCCCCTGTGGGCTTGCGAGGGAGAACAGAGAACTAAGCTCAGGAGCCCCCAAAGCCCAGTGGTCAGATACACGGAGAGGCTAGAGAATTCCACAACCTGTTGTCTGTGCTAAAGAGAAAGAAAAGACAATGATGCAAACGAGATAGTTCTTCTGCAGATTTTTACCACCCAGGCCCAGCCTCTCCTGCAGGAGCTCTATCGTCACAGGGTCCCCAACCGGTGGGCCCCCGTCCCCCTGAGTAAAGATATCCTGACACTGCTGTCACCACGACCTCAAAGCCCAGCTGGTCCCAAAGACCTCCTGGCCCCTTGCAGCGTGGGAACAGAGAGCACCAGAAGCCAATACCAGCTCAGGCTCAGGCGAGCAGAGGAAACAGGAGGCGTTGAAAATGGGTCTGAGTAGAAGCAACCAGAGAGGCAGGCCAAGGTGCAGAGCTCAGTTCTGACCCAGTGTCTGACCAGTTACAGAACTTCCCGAGCCTTAATTTGCTCACGGTAAAGTTGAGGAGGACATCACACACGTCCCAGGGTCTCCCTGACCAAAGTGCTTCTGGCCAAGAAGCCTGTCTCTTAACGGGTTGCCTTTATCATCCATCATTGACCCCCATGGGGGATGGCTGTCTTGGGGCCTGTTCAGTGAGAGAGTCAGCGGGGAGCTGGCCTTGATAATGGGGTGGACACACCAGTAGTCCAAAGCGGAGCATTGTCCAGGGCAGGCCAGTCTTGTGGAGGACTTTGTGCTTGGGTTGTAAGGGGAGGTCCAAAGGATGAAGAAGAATTGTGGGGGTGGGGGGTGGAGCAAATTCCATCCCCATCAGACCTGTCTCCCTACTCTGTGCCCTTGGAGTGAAGCACGTCTGGCTCCCAGTCTGGCTTCGCCACGTACACACCACTTTCCCTCTCTGAGTCTCAGGTTCCTTGCCCATGAGAGAGAGCTTCTAATCCACGCTTCAGAGGACCGATGGGGGAGTTCATGAGACAGCTCATGACTGAGCACTTAGGGTCATCAGGAGCCAAAGCAGAAAAATAAAAAGACAAGGAGAAAGAGCTGCACTGAGTGCTAGAAAGCCCTAACAACAATGATGAGCAGACTCCCCTTATTTTATTCAGTCTTATTGATAAGGAAGCTTATTAAAACCTGGCCCCTAGAATTCACCTCTCCCAAGACCAGCCTCAGCATCAGCAGTATCATCAGCAAACTATAATAAAACAATAACGGCTAACATGATTGGAACACACTGTGCGGAGTATATTACATGTTATCACATACGCTCTAAGAGATGCACTATTATTACCCCCAAGTTATAGACAGGAACACTGAGGCCCAGTGAGGTTCAGTAACTCGCTGGAGATCCCACAGTGGGGCAGTGGTGGGGTCAAGGGTAGACCACAGAAGTCCGAATCCAGACTGTGGACTTTGAGTCACTTGGCTTCATCAGAAGGAACATCTCTGGTCCATCATAAGCGCTCGAGGTATGTGGTCCACCTGGCCAGAAGGGTGAAGAATTAAGAAGGAATATCATTCCTCCGTGTGGTTATAGTTTCCTGACTTAGTGGGTGTCTGGGACAGAGAGCTGTGGGGGCCTACCTGCCCCATTACCCACCTCCGTGTTCTTATCTTCCAGCCCCTGTTCATTGTTGGAACTTCTTTGCAGACGACCGGAGGAAGTCTGTCAGTCTTTGCTAGAACAATGAATTCTTTGTCCGTGGCAAAGGAAAGCCTGTCTGGGACTGAAAAATGTTCCTGCCATTTCTCAGACACAGCATAGAGCACGGTCAAAGAGAAATCAGATACCTGCTCTTGAAACTGCCTAGAGCTACTTTTATGAACTTTATATTCTTGTCGGGAGATCTTGGGATCTCTGTTCAAAAAGGGGCAGTGTTTCCTGAGTCAGCAGAGAACTCGGAGGAACCCAGAACACCACGGAGCCTAGGATCCATCCATGCATTTATTTATTCAACAAGTACTGGTTGAGCATCTGCTCCGTTTCAAGTATTGAGTAGGGTGTTTAATTTATTCGATAAGGAATTTTGATAGGAAAGAAAACCAGTATGTGCTAAGTGCCTGTTATTGGTTAAATTGTATCCCCCGGCCCAAAAGAAGACAGGTATCCGAGTCTCAGGATGCGATCTCATTTGGAAATTTCTACAGAGATGAGTTAAAATGAAGTCACTGGGGTGGGCCCTGAGACAGTATGTCCTTGTAAGAAGGGGAAACTGATGTCCTTACAAAAAGGGGAAATTTGGACCCAGAGACAGACCCACACAGAAGGAAGATGACGTGAAGACACACAGAGAGGATGTCATGTGACAACAAAGAGACCAGACTGAGGCAACAGCAGCCAAGGAAAGCCAACAGTGGCCAGCAAGCCACCAGAAGCTAAGAGAAAGGCATAAAACAGATGCTCCCAGAGTTCTCAGCAGAAACCAACCCTGCTGACACCTTGATCTTGCACTTCCAGCCTCCGTACTAAGTGAGTCCATACATTCCTATTGTTTAATCAACAAGGTGTGTGGCGCCTGGCATGGCAGCCCGAGGAGGCCAACAGAGTAGCTCCCCTGTGTCTGCAAGTGCACCATGCCCCTTAGCTGGTCTACTTCAAGTTCAGATAAAGAACTTGCTCAGTCTTATAGCACGTGAGTGACCATGTTGAGCTCAAAACCGAATCTGATGGACTCCCAAGATTAGGTCTTACTGTTCCCATTTTGTGGATGGGAAGCTGAAGTTCAGAGAAGCCCTGATATTCTCCCCACAAAAAGTGCCCAGCTATCAAAGACGGAGTTGGAATCTGAACCCACAGTTCCTAAATTATCTTTAGTCTTGGCAACGACCACATGAGAATTACTGATTCATAACCCCCGACTCACAGATTAAAGAGTTAAAACCATGGGCACTGAGGCACTTACTTAACCAAGGTCACGAGCGAGTGAGTGAGGGACCAGAACTTGAACCAGCTCACTCCAAATCATGGCTGCACGTCCCACTGCCACACGCTGCTTCCGTCCGTGGCCCGTGTGCATTCAGAGGCAGGTGAGAGTGCCTTTCAGGATGCTGGACTACCCATCGGAAGACCTTGTTTGCTCAGAGAGAACAAAATTGTGGCGGACATTTAACTTCTTTTCTTTCCTTTGACTGTCTTATATTCAGGTGCTCGCCCTGCCCAAACCCCACCCTACCGGCCCCTCATCTGCCTAAGAAAATTGCGCTGTGGTTAATCTTGTAGAGAGTGAATTCCACCAGCACCAACTACACCCACTGGGGCACTTGGTCCTTCCTCTGCCCACCTCCCCTTTCACCGAGGGTGGTCACATGATACAGTCATGTGACCTTGCCCAGCACTTGAGGCTAGTGATGAACCTGGGGCTGGAAGTGGAGGGCTGCAGGTCTGTTAGTGGCAGCTGTAGCAGCAGAGCAGGTGGGTCCAGAGCTCTGAGCCACTGGTAGATTTAGCAAAACTCAGCTTTCTTCTCTGCAATTCATTGATTTTTTCTTTATAGAGAGCCAGAATCAGTTTCTGTTGCCAGCAATCAATACTCCTGAGCAGGAGCTGTCCAGGTCTCTGGTTGCTGAAAAATGCCACGGCAACACTTAGAAAGCCCAAGCAACTGCCCCAGACCAGGGAACCACCTCCACGCCCACCACAGCCCTCCCGAGAGCCAGCCTGACCTCGTGGTGAGGCTTCTCTGATGTCAGGCCCAGAAGAGAGATGCCCGGGTCATCTCTGCCCAGAGGTGGGGTCCAGTGGGAACACATGGCATTGGACCTGAGGCCAGCCATAGTCCACAGGAAGCTGGACTCCATCCTATGGACATCATGACCCCCAGAAGGAACAAGCTCTACCTGTCCAAAGGCATCCACCCAGAGGTCCTTCCTTGGGGCCAAACTGAAAATGAACAGCCTACAACGTAGCCGCGGATACAGCAGTTTCAACACAACAGCAGCGGCCATGGTGGCTAATGTTTACCCAGTGCAGGTTCAGGTTCCACCCTGGAGGTAAGGACTCTTACTGCATTGTGCTAGACACTGAATCAACACAAAACCCCAATCAGGTGAGAGACTAGAGCTTGGAGAAAGGAAGTAACTCGTCCGAGTGGCAGAGCCGGGGTTTAAAAGCAGGCAGTCCGGTCCAGCTCTGAGCCCCCGTCTGAATCACGGGGCCAGCACACCCCTCCCTCCCCACCGCTCCCCCTTCCTCACCTACCCCGCCCCCACCCCAGGTCACTGGAGGTGAACTTCCCACCTAACTGGGGTTCTCTGTGAGGGCCTGCCTCCTCTCCATCCAGTCGCAGTCCAAGTAGCTTCTGATGGCAATAACATTATATTGTTTTCTGGGGGGAAAGCACCTGTCCCGAACCTGCAGAGCCTGTGTCCCCCGGCCACAGGGTTTGGTTCAAGGCTAAGCCAATGACACTTCTGCCTAGGAGTCTTTCTGAAGCTGTCTGGAAGAAGTGTTTTCTCCCCCAGAGTTACTAAGCTGAGAGACTGTCTGTCTGGACTCTCTGGTTTCTTCTACTGGTGAAGCCGACCCAGAGGCAAGCTGAGCCCGGTGACAGAAAGAGGTCCCTAGTTATATCATTGAGTACCTAGATCTTGCTATGCCTAAGAGCTGAGTGTCCTCTGGACTTTTCAATAGTTACATGAGACAGCAAATTCCCTTTCTTTGCTAAAACCATTTTGACCGGGTTGTTCCACTTGCAAGCAAAGGAGTCCTGACCAGGTAGCTC